GGCAGGGACACCTTCCCCTGTCCCAGCTGCTCCAGCCCCAATGTCCAGCCTGGCCTTGGGCACTGCCAGGGATCCAGGGGCAGCCCCAGCTGCTCTGGGAATCAACAAAAACAATTTTCCAAAACGTCCCAGCTGCACCAAAGAGAACACAATGGGTTTTCCTTTTGTTAGCCAAAATTTTAAAGATTTAAGTCAAACGTGGATCCAAACCCACTTGGGATTCCCACTCCCGGTGTCCTGCCGTGGTGCTCCAGCCTTGGATGTGAGCAGGGCTGGCAGGGGCTGAGTGGAGCCGAATTCCAGATCGACTGAAATGCCCTACTTTGAAGTGATGGACAAGATTCCGAGTGGAATTAGGTCATCCCTGCGCTCATCGGAAATGAAAATTACATCATGGTGCGGTGGCTCGTCCTCAGATAAAAGGGCTGCAGCTGTTTCCCTGCCCAGCTCCCAGCCCTCGGGGTCACGCTGAGGGTTATTTTAATTAAACACAACCTCTCCCAGCCAGCCTGCCCTTGGGCTGAGCCCCCACGCCGGGCTCGACCCTCGCCTTCCCCCGGCTTCCAGCCAGCCCGAGCTCCTCCTGCACCGGCCCTGCTGCCAGGCTTCCAGCAAAAAGAGAAGCAATTCCACCCCAAATATCAGCCCAGCAGCGGATGGGCTGCCCTGGCACCTCGGGGCAGCACGGGGATGGAGCAGCATCCCCTTCCCTGCTGGATCAGAGCCCAGGGGGAGCCCCCCACGCTCCCCTCTCCTCCAGGAAAACTCGCGGCAACAAATAAAAAGCCCTGTTTAAAATAACTAAATAAGGCACTTAAAGAGGTTTTAAAAATGGATAACTCCACGCGCGGGATCGATCTTAATTATTGCCCAGGTGGAATTTTTTTACATTTATTTATTTATTTTAATTTTTTTTTTTTATTATTATTTTGGTCTTCTGGCTTTTTTTTGTCTTCTGGCTTTTTTCAGCTCAAAAACTCACCCGCCCACGCCAGCCATTAATGAGAAACGTCAAGGGCTCGTTAACAATGTCCTTTCATCAGCCCGAGGTGCTGCCAGCATCCCGCTCACGTCAATTTGCACCTCGTGGTCCAGCTCCTGCATCCCGGCCGCGGCTGATGGAGCGCAGACCCCCGGCTCCGGCCGGGCTGGGCTGGGCAGCTCCTCCGGCTCCAAATTCCCAATTTTATAATCTGGATCAGGCTGGAGCAGCGCTGGGTCCCCATCCCTGCATCACCCCGGGCGGGGAGGCAGCAAAGTGCGGTGGCTTCTCTCCCTCGGCCGTGATGGGGACAAGGATGCTCGACCTTGGTCCCCCCTGCAGGAATAATTCGGGAGGGAAAAGGGGTTTGGAAGAGTGGGAAAGGGGAAGAGAGGGTTCGTGGCTGGATAAAAATGGGAAAAATGGGGGTGGGAAAAAGGAAGCACGTGGAGAGGGCAAGGTTTGAGGGCAGGGAGGGAGTAAAGGTTTTGTGAGGATGCAGGTTCTGGGGGAAAAAAAAGAGGAGAAGAGAGGGAAAAAAAAGAAATAAGAGGGGAAAAAAGAAGAAAAAAGAAAAAAAAGAAAAAAAAAGTGGAAAAAAGAAAAAAAGACTAAAAAAGAAAAATAAAAAAGAAAGGAAAAAGAGAAAAAAGAAAAAAGGAAAATGAAAAAAATAAATAAGAAAAATGGAAAAGTAAAAGGAAAAGAAAAAGAAAAAAGAGAAAAAAAGGAAAATGAAAAAAAAGTAAATTAAAAAAGAAAAATGAGAAAAGCAAAAGAGAAAAGAGAAAAAAAGGAAAATGAGAAAAGAAAAAAAAAAAGAGAAAAAAGAGAAAAGTAAAAAGATAAGAGGAAAAAGTAAAAAAGGAAAAGGAAAAAAGAGAAGAAAAAAGAGAAAAGGAAGAAAAAAAAAGAAGAGAAAAAAGAAAGTAAAAGGATAAAAAAAGAGTAAACAAAAAAAAAAAAGATTAAAAAAATGGAAAAAAAGAAGAAAAAAATCTAAAAATGAGGACTAAGAAAGAAAAGCTGAGGGGTGGGAGCCACGTCCCTGACCCCGTGTGTGTGTGTTTGTTTCTCACACCCTCCCCGCGGTATTTGAAACCCGAGCAGCAGCCGGGCCTTGGCTCCAGCACAGCCCAAATCTCCTCTGCTGTGGCCAGAGAGGAGCTGCGGGAAGATTTTCCATTGTGGAGGGGTCACCCCCCAGCCTGGGAACATCTCTGCTCCATCGCTCCAGGAATAGAAAAACCACGGCAATGAAACCTGGAAATGCAATTCTTCCAGGGTTTCTGCATTCCTGTAAGGTTCTGATTGGGAAATTAGTCTTAAAATAGTCCCTAAATCTTCCAGGATTCCCCTTGGAATATCGTGCTTGAAGTTTTTAAGGAATTTTCTAAAGGTTTACTCATTTTTTTGTGTTTTCTTTAAGGAAGCAGCTTTGTAACCTTTCCCAATAAATAACCATGTTAATACCAAGTCTCTGGGAGCTGTGTGCAACACAATGTTTATAGATGATTGTAATTTAAGATATGAGAAAAAATGGCTTAAAGTAGCAATCTGTGGCTTTTCTAGAAGAAATAATACTAATACTAATACTAATACTAATACTAATACTAATACTAATACTAATACTGATACTAATACTAATACTAATACTAATAATATTAATTGTAGTGGCATAGAATGGTTTGGGGTTGAAAGGGATCTTAAAGATCATAATAGTAATGATAATAATAATGAAAATAATGATATCAATAGATATTAAAAGTAACAATAGTTTAAAATCACCACTCATTGATAACTTAACATAATTTGGTGAATGGTGTGTCCCACCAGCAACAGCAATTCCGCTGACAAAGAAAATATCAATTATCACTTAAAAAAAAAGTTGCTGATGCTTGAGAACTGCCTAAAAAAAATGAGATGGAAACTTTGAAGAGCCAGATCCTTCTCGCCCCTATCAGATGACTAATTCCTCTAATTCCAAAGACCAGGAAATTTGGGCACATATTGAGGAAGGTCCCCACCACGCCAATGAATCGCTTTTCTGTTCAAGATGCCTCCAGTCTGAGCTCATTATGCCACAAACTCATGGAAGTGATCTGTAACAATCCTGAGGCCTGGGGCCCTTTTCCATTTGGGATTGATACATGGGGAGAAATCTGCATTTTTCATCGAACAGTACAACCAGTGTGGCTGCAGTTCTGCTGCAAATCTGATGCAGGAAATACAAGAGAGTCCTTCAGAAATATTCCCATTTGCCTTGGACTGGCTGCAGAGCTTGTTTGTATGGGGAAAAAAAAAAGAAAAGAACCTGCTGCAAAATTCAGCTTCTTCCCTGGTCAAGGGCATCTATTTCATTCTCAATGTAATTCCGCCAAAACAAATATTATTTTTGAATCTTTCATTATCCCTGGCCTGGGAAGGGCTGGAGCAGCATGATGGTCTGGGATGCTGCAGGCCAGGATGTGCCATGAGCGTGTCCAGGCTGGAGGGGGGCACTGACAGGGCAGGGGAACCCAGGTGCCAGGAGAAGAGCACAGTGCTGGTGCCTGCCAGGGGGCAGGGGCTGGTCTGTCCCACCCCTGAGTGTGGGGTGCTTCCATCAGCTCCAGGCACCCACGGGATGGGCACCCCTGGGCATCTGTGGGGGCAGAGAGTGACCCAAACCCAGCCCAAACCCCAATCCCTGCACCTCCTTGGGGCTGCATTATTTTATCTTATTACTACTTTATTTATACACACAATATATTGTATATATATACATATATATATAAATATATACAAAATTTTTATGTCCATATAGTTTATGTAGATATGGATATATGGATGCATGTAGATATGCACACACACAAATACATGTATTTCATTAATGCCAGATGCATGTTTGGATGTCCAGGGTTATTTCTGTTCAAAGCCCACCCCAGTCCCCCTCGTTCCCCCCCAGACCCCAAAAACTGGGGGGACCCGGCCCCCGGCCCTGCGCCGCGCGCCCTCTGTCGGGCAGCGCCCGAACTGCACCGCTGTCCCTGTGTCTGTCCCTGTCTGTCCCTGTACCTGTGTCTGTGTCTGTGTCTGTCCCTGTGTCTGTCCCTGTCCCTGTCCCTGTCCCTGTCCCTGTGTCTGTGTCTGTCCCTGTGTCTGTCCCTGTCCCTGTCCCCCGTCCATCTCTTCCTGTCCTTGCCCCTCCCCATCTCTGCCCATCTCTGTTCACCTTCACCTGTCCCTCTCCATCTCTGACTGTCCCTGTCCCCAATCCATCCCTCCCTGTCCCTGTCCCTGTCCCTGTCCCTGTCCCTGTCCCTGTCCCTGTCCCTGTCCCTGTCCCTGTCCCTGTCCCTGTCCCTGCCCATCTCTGCCCATCCCTGTCCACCTTTACGTGTCCCTCTCATTCCCTGACTGTATCCAAGTTCCTTTCCCTGTCCCATCCCTTCTTGTCCCTGTCCTAACCCTGCCCTGTCCCCCATTCCTGTTCCTGCCCATCTTTCCCTGTCCCTGTCCCTGTCCATCCCTGACTCTTCCTGTCCATCCCCTCCTTGCCCCATCCCTGCCTGTCCCTGCCCACCCCAAACCCCTGACCCAGAACAGGATTTCACTCCCAAAGTTGGCTGTTTTCCCTGGAAAAGGCATTACCTCCCCCAATCCCAGCGCTTCCCATCCCCACAAAAAAGTCACATCCCTGAAAAAACCCAAATACCTGGGGAAAAAACCCATGGAGGGATGCAAATGTGGGAAAGGTTAAAGTTGACGTTTGCTGCCGCCTGCTTTCGGTGGCAGCATGTATTAGAGATATAAAAAAATAATAAAATACACCCAAACTGTACATATTATAAGGCAGTATTTTTATCTCGGGGTTCTGGTGACACGTACAAACCACTTGAGCTTTGCTTCTGTGGTTTATATCGCCACGAGAAACCCTTGATAAAAATACAGCTTTATATTGTACAGTGGGGTATAGTTTATTTTCCCCATATATCACACCCTGTGTTTTATTTATAAACAGACCCAAAGACACTTGCACATGCAAAGCAGATTTTTTATTGAAGTAATTCCGAGGTATCAATAATCCTGGATTAACTAACACAATGCCACATGATAATTTTTTGTGGGGGGCAGCAATGGCCTTTCTAAAGAGACATCCATGAAAATATGATAAAACACATAAAAAAATCAGTATTTCCATGTTACAATTTACGATTCCCATACTGGAAATTTCAGCTTCTGGTGGCTCGTACTTGCAGAGAACCCTGCTAAAACCACCTCAAAATTTAGCTTTAATGTCTCTTGAACCCTTCCAAGGAGAGGCTGCGGGAAATAAAGCTTTGGATAACAGAGAAATGTGGAAATCTGAAGGAAAACTCAAATGATAGAGGAATGTGCCTCTGCTAAGGAAGCAACTACGATGAGCTTTTCAGTATTTTGCTGAATTTGGCTAATCTGCTTATCTCTGATAAACTCTAATAAACTTATCTCTAATATCTCTAATAAACTGCTTATCCAAAATACACAATTTGTCAACAACATCTCTTCCCCTGCTCTAGGCAAAAAAGAAAAAATAATTTCCCATCTCCCAGTCCAAAAAGAAAAGGCAGGAGTAAGGAATTCAACAGCTGCTTTTGCAGAGATCTCACTGTGCTCCTTTAACTCCTGTTGAGGTAAAACACAATTTTATGCCCCAAACTGGGGAGGGGGAGTTGGGCAGGGTGTGCCAGGCTGGGCAGCCCCTGCCAGGAGCCAGATGCCTCCTCGGGGGAAGCTTCCACCTCACATTTGCCACGTCCCTCCCACTCCCTTATCCCTGCTTTAATGGACATTAAAAATAGAACAAGACAGGGCTGGAGATGGGAACAAAATCCATGCACAACAGGCCTGGATCGCTGTAGTCATTCTGCTGTAAAATGTAAAAACAAGAAAGGGCAGCCGAGCTGCCTCCCCCAGGACGCATCCCGCTTTTTTAATACAGTGGTGCCACCACACATTTCACTTTGGATGTTGCATTATATTTATATGTCACTCAAATATTTACCATTTTTCTGAGTTCTGCTGGGTGCTCTGAGAGCTTGTTACAAGGCAGGGAGCCGTGGCCGGTTAGCGGCCGCCGCCGCGCGCCAGCTTCTCCTTCTGCAGCTTCTCGTGGGACAGCAGCCACTCCTTCAGCAGGTGTCCCCCGCCGTAGCTGCCCGTGTCCCCGCTGCTGAGGATCACCCTGTGGCACGGGATGATGATGGGGATCTGCAAAACACCCCAAAATCCGGGAGGAGCAAAGGGTGAGGCCGAGGGGAGCCAGGAGTAACGGGATGAGGCTCTCAGCGCCCTGGTGGGGATCCACCACGGGCTGGGCTCGGTGGGGTTGGTTTTGCCCAGCCTGAGTGATGCTGTGATTCCTTGAGTGTGTAAATCCAGCACTCCCAAATCCAGCAGATGCCTGGCACTGGGTTCACAGGGACATGGATCAGCCACATCAGGGCTGTGCTCCTGGCAGAGCACAGAGCCCATCACCAGCCCTGGAGACCACCCCAGGTCTTAGATAAAAATAGACATGGACAGGAATTTTAATACGTAAAAATGATGTAAAGTCTTTAATATGATAAACCTGAGATATTAAATCCCATATGTAAAATCTTCCCTGCAGCACCAGGTTCTGCTGCCCTGCCCCAGCTGAGCTCTCAGTGCCCAGGGTGGGGAACGAAGCCTCACAGACACAAAATGCACATGAAGAATTATTTAAATTGAGCACTGGGCAGGAATTGCTCCCTGGCAGGGTGGGCAGGCCCTGGCACAGGTGCCCAGAGCAGCTGGGGCTGCCCCTGGATCCCTGGCAGTGCCCAAGGCCAGGCTGGACATTGGGGCTGGAGCAGCTGGGACAGGGGAAGGTGTCCCTGCCATGGCTGGGGTGGGATGGGATGAATTTTAAGGTCCCTTCCCACTCAACTCATTCATGGATACCACGATCATCCCAAGACTAGAAGATATCTGGGAAAAAACAGATTATTGAGAAGAGATCCCAGTGCCTCAGCTCCCCAGCAGATCCTCTTCCTGCTGTGGCACCCTCCTGTGCACCCTGGAGAAATTCTCTGGAAGACCAAGGCACTATTTATTTTTCAGCAGCAAGTCAATCCAAAATGGGTTGTGAATTTTCAAAACCTCCAACAGGAGAAGTTTGATTCCAACCTAACCAATTTTAAGAATTGTTTTTTTCCCCTCTCTGCCTTCCTCTCCCTATCATTTATAACCACACAGCACAGATTCTGCAAAATCAATGCCAGAAGTTACATAATGGACTGATAATGCAGAGGAGAACATAAACATGGGGCTTTTTTTTTATTTTATTTTTATTTTTTATTACAGGTGATTATCATAGCTGAAGTACACACCATAAAACCTGCAATACATCATCTCTAATCACGGCTGTGTTTTGGTAACTGCATAGTAATGGCATTGCAATGGTGGAGCTGGGACAACAATCACTCACCCAAAAGGGCAGTTCTCACAAATCTGGATATTTCAAGTCAAAAAATTGTAATTTATTTCTGTGTAGACACTCAGACAAATTACATACTTCACCCTCACTTATTTTAATCCCATTTAATCATACAGTTCAAGCACTGTGGTATATTTGAGCCTGGGATACACAAACCCCAAAGTAGCTGAGCAGCTACTGGCCAGACCATAAATTGAGAGGTTTTTTTTTTTTTTGGGGGGGGTGTTCTTTCAGTTTACCTAACTAATTTCAATGCCTGAAATTTAAAATCCTAATCTCAGCCCACATTAAATGGAAATACACACAGGTGCTTATTGTTGATCAAGGTTTAAATTAAAAAATGCTTCCAATATCTGTTTTATTTGGAGGTGGCAATGCCTTGAGTGATTAATCCATCTGTCACAACTCCAGTGAGTACCAATAAAAGCTTTGCTCCTTGCCAGGCCACCCCACAGTTGGTTTATGACTTCTTCAAAGAAATTGGGGTTGTTTTTTCTTTTTTTTTTGCAAGTGTTTTTCTGGTTTGGGGTTTTTCTGCCTTTCCACTCCCTGCAGTTACTGCAGGAGGCTTGGCTTGAGTGACAAAGCCATAATAATACACTGTAAAACATCTCTGAGGTTCATTTGCAATTCTTTAAAAATACACACAGCAAAGCAGCAGATTTTGGTGGCAAGGCTATAAATCTTGGTGGAGAAAAAAAAAACCCAAAAAATACTTTATTTTCAGGTGTGGGGTGTTGGATGATCCCTGGGTGGGTGTAGGACCTGTTCACAGCACAGGGAAATGGGGTTGGGCTGTCACCAACCAAGCAAAAAGAGGAGGTATGAAATTAATGCCACTTTTTCCATGCCCAAAACAAAGAATTCCATGCTGAGATTGTCCCAGCCCAAGCAGCCATCCGTCACCCTCCACAGCTCTGGATGTAGAAGTGGTACAAAGACCATACCACTGCTGTAATTTAAAAATATTGAATATTGCTTCAGTTTGGCTTAATTGTGGTGACAATGTTCAGCCTACTAAAATAATTAAACCTGCTAAAATTTATTAGGGCCCTAAGGACATTTTAGAGGGAGAACTACCCCAGTCTGGAGCTTTAATGCCTCAGCTACATTTAATGTAATTTTTATCAATAACCAAGCAGCTCATAATATTATAGCGCCGCTGAAATCTTCATGCTGTGAAATCTAATTCCTCTCCTCCACGAATCCATCACACACACAGCCCCTACCTCAAATGCTATAAAACTTCCAAACCCAGAGATTTGTCTCCAACAAAAAAATAACATGAAGGAGCCCTCGGATCGATGCTGGAATCCCTCTGATTCGGGCACCAGCTGAATATTTTCTCCAACTTCGCTTTTGTTCTTCTGGGTAGAGGCCCACAAGGGAAAGAGCTTGTTTTCACTCGCAGCCTCATCAATACCTAAATCCTGGTGAACAAGTGACACTGAGAAGCTGTAATCAATAGCTCCCTGTGCGTTTTTTCTTCTGGTCAAATGGTTCAGCACTACTGACAGCCCTGACACTCGGAACATGATGCTAAATCTTTATCAACAGCCATCTGGGTGAGTGGCAGAACAAGGCTGGGCCGGTCATTAACGCTCCTGGCGATCTGTGAATAAAGCAACTCCTCCAGAATGAGTTTGTTTAGGGAAAAAAGGAGGGGAAAAACCTCCCTGCCCACAGGATCGATCACTCAGAAGTGCTTTTAGGAAATTCCTGCACTCTGGATGTTCCCAGTGTCTGGATTGAGGTGAGGGAGCTGTCCCATGGCATGGCTGGGGAGCTCCCAAATCTGCCTGGCTCTGCCAGGCTGTGATGGAAACAGCTGAGGGATCACTGAGACACACTCAGCAAAAACCAGTCCTGTGGTTTGCTCACGTCACAGAGTCCCAGACTGGAAGGGATCTTAGACATCATCCAGTTCCACCCTCTGCTTTTCCTCCACCTCTTCCCCAGCAGAAACAAATCCTGTGATGTGACCCAGCGTGGGTCTCGGGTTATCACTGGCCACCAAAGGATTGGGAATGAAAACAGTAGGAGAAAGTTCTTCCCCAGAGGTGCTGGCACTGCCCAGGCTCCCCAGGGAACGGGCACTGAGGCTGCCAGAGCTCCAGGAGCCTTTGGACAGCGCTCCAGGGATGCACAGGGGGGATTGTTGGGGGGTCTGGGCAGGGCCAGGGGCTGGAATGGATGATCCCTGAGGGTCCCTTCCAGCTCAGGACATTCCCTGATTCAATGGATGAACACACAGCTACTTCCATCATCCACAGAGCTTCAGCTCCACCCATCACAACTTTCTCACAAACCCACGACTGCTCCCCCGGTGTTCAAAACACTTTGGTTGAATATCCACGATCCAGCTCAACGTTTTATCTGTGATTCAGGATGGATTGGTGCAACAGCCTGGATTTAGGATAGATTGGTGCCAGGATCAGGCTGTGTCCCTGGCTGGGGGGAACCCAAGGAAGAGCACAAACCAGCACAGGCAGCTCCGAGTGCCGTGCTCAGACCGCTGAAGACGTCTTATTTAAGGCACAGAACACTCATTTAGGATGGCCTTGGACTAATCAGCCCAACATTCTCCATTTCCCATGAGCTTCTGTGATTTCTTTTTGATCCTCCTCTACCAGTCTAATGAGATTTTTAATTGAACTTTATGGGTTCCCTTTGAGGACCACAGACCTTGCAATCAGTGTGAACCACAGCAAGCTCTGGGAAGTCTCTCCCGTGAAAGGTGAGCCATCCCCACCCTGTCCTGGGCTCAAAATGAGGCAGCTGCTGCTGGCACCCCTTCCACCTTCTCATGAAGCTGAAGGTCAGCCCAGGAATGATGTGAAGCATCCCAGCTGCAAGGGGAAACCTGTGGAATGCACACTACCCAGACTAAAAATCAATCCTTTATTCACAGGAGGGAGAAACGTGCTGGGATCTGCTGGAGAAAGGTGAGTTTGTGATTTTATCCAAGTGTTTGAGGCACAATGTGATGCCCAGCTCAGGGTTATTTCAAAGGGCCCTTTTTCCTGGTGCTACCATCCTCACTAAATCAGGTTTATCACAAATCCATTTACCACCACACCAGGTTGCTCCAAGCCCTTTCCACCCTCATCTTGAGCACTTCCAGGGATGGGTTTGGGGTTTGGGATGAGGGTTTAGACCCTGTGTGGCTGTGGAGCAATCCCTGACCTCCCATGGTTTTTCACACTGGTCCTCTCAGTATTTTCTTTAATCAGATTTCTACGAGGCCGCAACACGGAGTTGCAAATTGGGTCAGAAAATCTGTTTTCGCAAGAGTTGACGGCTTTATATATAGAAATAACAAAGGTGAGGGGGTTTTCTGCAGTGCCACATTTTATCTTTATCTTTCACCTCATGCATAAAATGCGTGTGTATTACGCACAGTCAGCCTGCACGTGATGGCTCACAGGTGAAGGACCACAGAGACGTTTCTGTGGGAAATACCAGGAGCAGTGAGCAGTTGCTCACACTGAAGTGCATAAGGACGATGTGTGTGTGTGTGTGTTTGCATGTGGAATATGGATGGAATTTCAGATTACCTCCAGGAGATGAGCAGTGGCAAAATTGTGCTTTGAGATGGGCAGGACTCTCATTACAGCACTGATTTTTTTCTTTTTTTTTTTTTTTTTTAATCATCAGCTTTCTATGATGAAATATTGAGGTGGTATTATATTAATACAGCTCTTTTTCCCTACAGCTATACATTATTATCTATAACTATAGCTTAAAAATTTTCTGCTGGGGACAGAAACCACTGCAGCCACGGTATGGGCTGGGAAATGGCAATAATAACTAGGACCCCATTTAAAAAAATTGCAGGAGCTTTGCTGTATATTTTCAGAACTATTTTCATCCTTCCTCACAGGGGAAAAAGCAGGAATTTTCACACCACAACCTGCTGTTACCGCTGCTTTGGATGCTGCTGCTCCACTGCAGCCTGAGGGCAAAGCTGGGTACATTTCTAGGCGATAGCAATTACATCTCCTTTTGCACAACACTGGATTGTTATTCTTTGAGAACTGTTTCCTGTAGGTTTGCATTGGATTGCCTTATCTTAATGTACACCAGATTATATTGGAAAGCATTCCATCATATTAAAATAGTTTGTATTGTCAAGTACAATGTGAGGGTATTGACAAAACACTGCTTATGCTGCTGATAGGAGCTGCTTCACAGGGAAAGCTGGTGGCTGCTGGGAACATCAGGGTGGGCTCAAAGCTTAACCCCACAGGGAACTGTGTGGGTCTCCCTGGCTGGCTGCTACCCCTGGGGAAGTGTGGGATGAGATGGGCTTTGAGGTCTCTTCCAACCCAAATGGTTCTGTGGTTCTGTGGGTTTGGGGGCAGTGCAGGTACACCCACCTGAGCCCCCAGACCCTGCAGGGCAGCATGGGGCTGACCCCAAGCCAGACCACCGGGGTACAGCACCCACTGAACTACTCACCAGCTTCAGAGACCAGCCAGGGTGACTCAGGGCCACCTAAACCCCTAAAGCTAAACCCAAAGAAAAGGGAAAACAGACACAGATCATCACTTAGAATAAGGAAATATCTTCCCCAAATCCACAGGACTAACCTAAAGTGCTGCTCCCTCCAGCTGGCTCAAATTCAGGCAACTCCCCTCCAGAATCCCAGAGTGGTTTGGGTTGGAAGGGACCTTAAACTCGTCCCATTCCACCCCCTGCCATGGGCAGGGATATTTCCCTCTGTCCCAGGCTGCTCCAGGCCTTGTTTTCACAATTGTATTTATGCCAGGGTGGATGGATTGTTTTTAACACAACCAGAACCACTCAGAACCTGCCAGTTGAGGTCCATGTGGAAGATGAAAGACTTCCCTGATGTAAAAATATGTCAGGAAGTTTGAGAACAACAAACTGTGAGTAACAGAAGTCTTTCTCTTCCCAACCCAACCCCATAAATGGTAGGGCATAAATCACACTAAACCGAGCTGTGCATTATTGCTGATTAAAAACACTTACTGACCGTATTCCTCATGGCAGACCAGTTTCCAGAGCAGATAAATTTAACCTAATGACATTTAGCCCGCAGAGCTCTCTAAATCCAGCATCTCCCAGCAGCTTTGGGCTGGAAGGTGCCGTGGACTCACCGGGTTGCTCCTCATGGCTCCTCCCACGGCTCTGGCTGCCCGGCTGTTGCCAGCAAGATCTGCCAGCTGCTTGTAGGAAACAGCCTCCCCAAACTTCACATCCTTCAGCAGGGTCCACAGCACCTGCCTGGTGAAGGAATCTGCAAGGCAGAGGGAGAGAGAACTGCTTGACTGGAGAAACTGGGATGGAACAGTCAAAAAACCCAACACAAAGCGAGGCTCAATGGACGTTTTCTGATTTAAATTGGAACAGCCCCATGCACTGTCCTGTTCCTGTGCCCTGTATGACTGCATTTAAATACATGATTATCAGAGAGAGCGCTTGGAGTAACTGATCACTATAAAAAAGGGATTTAAGGCTTTGATTTTCCCATGTTTTTAATTTGCTTGGAGTACAATTATCCCGTTAGCTCGTACAATGTGGCTTTTCCCATTAAATTGCCGGAGTAGAAATTAGCATAGAGTCAAATTAAAAGGGAAGGAATAAGTGGCTGTACCTATCTGACAAAGGCCTGGCATCTCCAGCTAATTTCCAACTTCAGCTGGGACGTGGCAGAGACGCCCTAGAGCCAGCACACTCCGAATTATCCTGCATTTTCTAGTGGGGACCCCCGAGCTACTGCTCAGCACTGCACACACTGCCAAGTGGAAGGACGAGCTGTGACCTTGAATGTCCTGCACATCCTTAATGATACAGGGGGAAAAAAAAAAATATAATGTCTCGGCCATTATTTTAATTTTAATTCGGCAGCAAATTGCTTTAAGTGTGCCAATTGCTGAAATAATGAATAAGCAAATGCATTAGGAGAGGATTTCTTTGGCATCTCAGGGTGTTACTCAGCCCAGGATTGTTTTAAGGAAGGAAAAGGGATGGTTCTTGTAATATCACTCTCCTTGTCTCCTTTGGGCTGAATTCTCTGTGGATACAACTTTTCTCTAGTCTCTCAGCCTCCTTTGGGCTGAATTCCTCTGGGATCCTCCCTCGTGGGGAGTCCCACTTATCTCAGTCCTTATAATTCGAAGAAAACTCCTGAGCTCGTTAGAATCTTGTTTCTCGTGTTTATTAACAGGTGATCACAAAACTTGACAGATCTCTCCAGGCTGGTTACAAGGTTAATTTTTGCAGTTTGGCACATTTCTTTCTTCTGATGGTACAAACCAAGCCTTGTGGCACACTTTGTGTCTGATGCACAAAATGGCCCCGAAATACGCAGTTCTTTTATCTTTATACCTATTTTTACCCAATTAACAATAGACACGTATATTATCTTTCTTAATGACCCAATGACCCATCACCTCTGTGCTGCACTGTGGCATTTTCTATCCAATCACTTACTATCACCCAAAAACCTCTAGGAGAAGAACATGAAGAAGAAAGAAGAAGGGACAAGGGACAACACCCTAAATCCTCATCCTGTCTCTTGTTCTCTAAACTAACGTTTTCACCCAGTGATTTAAAAAACTTTCTAATCTATACACTTACACTTTTAGCTTTTTCACTCTGTATTCCAGACTCCAACAGGTTCTGATCACTGTCAGGTTCTGATCAATCTGTCTGGATTGGAGGTGGGTTGAACACCTCTTGCTCTTCCAAAGCACTTGGGAAAGCTCTGAGGAGGTGACTCGTGGAGAACTTAGTGAGAGGAGCGAGCTGGTGACTAAAAAAGTGGAATAAAAAGGAGAAGAGACTCCTTCCCCCAGCTGAGAGCCTCAGCCTCCCTCTCTGGCAAAGAAACAAACCGATTAAAAACATTTTCTTTCTTTAGCTGTCAAAAAAGACATCGATTACCTTCAGTAGGAAGGTAAAGAAATGTGATTTTGTTCTTAAAGGAAACCCATACAGCGTTATGTGTGTGTTAAATAATAAAAATCACTTCTTCACTGAAGGGAATGATAATCACTTCATTGAAAAAAATCTGTTTAGTCTTTATTATAACATTAAGCAAATTAAACATCAGCATAATCCAGGTGATACGAGAAAAGGGTCATCAAAGAAATTAACTTTGTTGTTCATTAATTTACATGGATTAGTAGAGGGCAAAGAGATAGCAAATCTGCTCTAGTTTTTTATGATATAATTTCAAACTGTACACCATTTGTGGCAGTAGGGTGACTTTGGGGTTAATCAGACTGATTTGTCCTTTTAATTGCTTTCTATTCAAAGAAAATTCATTAGATAATGTTCTCTTCAAAATTCATGAATCAATTTAACTGAAGAAACCACATTAACAGCTTTGGGTTCATTAGCACAAGCAGTTGTGTTACTGGCTGATTGCTACGAGCCTTTCCTTAGGCAAACAGATTTTGTTTACTGTGATTCCTTCAGAAAGGTTTATTTCAAATCAAACTGCTCCTTCTTATTTTTTAACCTTTTTAATCTGGCAGGATTAGCTTTAACCTCCCTGCTCAGGGGTCTTGGGGAGTCACTGCCCGATGGCATCTTTCAAATGACCAACACCCAGTGCAGAAAATCCCTTTTTTCACCCTCAGTTTTGGCAGGTTGGGATGGACCTGAAACTTTTTTGGGAACCTGTTGGAATCAGGGAGAAAATGGAGCAAAGTGCACCTGGACACGGAGCAGGTGAGGGAGGATGGGGCAGCTCCAGAGCCCCCCAGCCCCAGCACAGCCCCAAGTGATGCCCAAATTCCTGAGGACTGGCACAGGGACACAGATTATCCTCCTCTCACACACAGGGACACAGATTATCCACTTGCCAGGGCCACTGGATGTTTTTCACAGAAGAAATCCAAGCCTCTGCTCTGACATAAAACACTTGTGAAGAGTTCAAAAGAATGACATATTTAGCAATCACGCACATCATTTTGGAAATGTATCTGAAAACTCAATTTCATCCTGTGGGGAGCAAACACTTTAATTAGTTTAAGCAGCTCGAAGAGGCAGTGCCAAATCCTGTTATTAAAGTGTCTGCAAGTGTGAGTGCCTGTGAGCACAACCTGCCCAGCCGAGGTGGCTCGACCTCCCCCAGCCCTCACTGAGTGCCAGCCTTTAATGCTGTGAAATAGAGTTCTGAAGGGCTGTAAAATCCCCACATAAAAAGGAACAAACAGCAATTCTCTGCTTCCACCAGAGCTCCATGTCCTGGGGAGGCTGATACCAGCAGAGCCATGAATGGGAGCATCTCCAGGTTTTGTCCTTCCTGTGTCCCCACCTGTGCGTGGGGTCAGCACAAAAACCCCTCCAGGTGAGCCCTGAGCACCAGGGACACCTCCCACCCTCCCAGCTGCTCCCAGCCCCTGTCCAGCCTGGCCTTGGACACTTCCAGTGATCCACAGGCAGCCACAGCTTCTTTAGGAATTCCATCCCAGCCCCAACCCTGTAAATATCTGTATTTACAGATAAATCACCCTGAACTTTTGTTAATGCCTAAATGCTCGGAGGTCCCTCCCACCAGCCCACTGGACCTTAATTCTCCATACAAACATGTTCAGTCCATGGGGATAATGGAGAGAAAATAATCAATTTTTACTTCAACACCAGTTGTATCATAACTTTTAACAGTGTAACTGAAGGTGGGAATTAGTCCAAAGAAGTAAAATCATACACTTCTAACTAATAATCATGGAATTATGGAATGATCTGCTTTGGAAGGAACCTTAAAAATCATTTCATTCCATCCCCTTGCCATGGGCAGGGACACTTCCACTAAATAGTATTTCTATATGTATTATGTATATAAATATTATATTTATATATGTTTGTATCTAATCTCTAATAAGGATTTTGGTGTTGGTGAAGGGCTCAGTCCCTCAGGATTCAGGATGGATGAGGGAAGAGCAGAGGGACCAGTGCCAGACCCTTCCTGTCCCCTCTGCATCTCACCCTGGGGCCAGAGAACTTCAGAAAACCCCACAGCCTGTTTTTCCATCCTTTTTAAACTCTTTGATTAAGAGGAATTAAAGACAGAATGGTTTCTCCTTCCCCTCAACACTGACTGCTGGGAATGTTAGTTTTTGTTTGTGGTGTTGGTTTATTTTTGTGCCTTTTTTTTTTTTTTTCCTTCTGCTTTTCCTTTTGTTTGTTTGTTTTTCCCCCAGAGTTTTGCAAATTCAAAACCAGTTATAAACACTTGCTCCTCCTCAGCAGCTTTTTCACAGCCTGCCTGGGGTACTACAGACAACTTTTCTTGTTGTTTTTTCACTCACTGGTTCCCACTGTCATTACTATTAGTAAAAAAACCACAAAACATTCAATCACAACAGTTCAAAAATACCCAAACCTGTCTGGAAAACAGCAGTTCCCACTGCAGCAGCAGCTCCCACCTGAGCCAGAAAACTCAGACTGTTCGGGGAAGAACAGATTCACACTCAAACTGCAGAATTTTCCTGAGAACAGGCAATGGTGCAAACCATTAATCCAAGCAAGAGAGTGGATTTTCACCCATTTTGAGAGTTTATTATTAAAGCCATGTTAAACCTGTCACCCTACCCCAGACTGACCTAGCAAGTGATATGTGAAGAGATAACTGTTTAATTATTAATTAATTATTAATTAATTATTAATTCTAATTGTTTAATTCAAATGTTTTGCTCATTTTATGAGGCTGCCCCATCCCTGGAGGTGTCCAAGGCGAGGCAGGACAGGGCTTGGAGCACTCTGGGACAGTGGAAGGTGTCAGCCCATGGCAGGACTGGTACTGGATGGGCTTTAAGGTCCCTTCCAGCCCAAACCAGGCTGTGATTCCATGAGACATGGAATTTCAGGCACTTTTGTTAAGGTTTGGTGTATTGCCTGTGCACGTATGTTTGCAAAATGTGATACAATAAAACAGAAACACGACTATAATGTAGGAACTCGCTGTCTGCCTGCATCACTTCAGTGAAAAATGGACCAAAATGCTTCCTTTTAACACCTCAAACATCCAGGCTGGCTGACACTGAGCCTGAGCTACATTAAAACCCAATTAATGGGAGCTGTTCCCATGCTTTAACACAGTTTTACACACGGCTCCCTTCAGATTTCTGAGGGGGTTGTGGGGCCAAATTCTATCCTTAGAAGCGAGGAACTCTCCCTGGACCTCATCCAGCAGTATTTCTGCAGTTAAACTCCCTGGAAGTCAGGGGGTGGTTAACTCGAGCAGTAACTGATATTCTGACCCATTTTTTTACACAATACCTCAAG